CCGCGAAAACTTAAGAAAACATACATACATACATACATACATACATATATACATATGTATATATGTATATATGTATATATGTATATATGTATATATGTATATATGTATATATACACACACACACACACACATATATATATACACACACATATACACACACACACACGTGTGTGTGTGTGTGTGTGTGTGTAAAATGTTACCATTTTATCATTTAACATTCTCTTACTATCTTATGACACAGAACTGAATGTAGTATCTGCATTCTGTTCTTCATCTAAGTGTTTCATAATGGTTCTAAAATTGACATGAGCCATTGGCGTTCTTCCTAGTCCTACTAAAGAAACACTGAGTATATGAATGTCTATTGGAACGGTACACTGTGAACAAAATGATGGCTAAGCCATCAAGTAATGGACAGGGGAAATGACCTTTGATGAACTCTATCCAATTTAAATTTTCTAAATTTGAAAATAGACCTCTTTAATCTTTTGTCTGTGGAATAAGTCTAGAGGAAGTCAGGTGGAATGATAGAGGCTTCCTAAAATTATCAAGTGAATTTCAGACTCCAGCAGACCTTTAATCTCTAGTCTCTTCTTCCAAGCCCAGCACTCTATCTACTGAATTGCATTAGTTGGTTAAGTACAATATTTGAAATTTTACCATGATTGAAAGTTAAAATGCAGAAATCATTTGAAACTTTGATACATCATTCAAAGCATCCAAAGCAGGATTATAGAATGCAGCTATCAGATGTTCTGAGTTTCAAGAACATGCAAAAAAAAACAACCCAGGAATCTCTTATGATCTATAATGCCCATTTATGAGACAAAACTTTGCTTAACAAAATTATTTTTAAAAATTGCTTGGTGATCAATTTAAAAGGCTGAACTCAGTATGTCACCAAATCATGACACAGAAAACTCCCTCAGTCCCTATCATCAATTTATCTTCTCAGACCTGAGGAAAATAAAAGAAAATCAACTTTAGTTCCACATAACTATCAATCTGTTGATTCATTTCTTCTTTGTTTGAAAAGAAAGGAAAAGGGACATTTTCCTATTCCAATTCACATTACATGAATCAGAATTGGTGAATAGGCTAAATCAGGCCTGAGTGAAGCATAAAGAAAAATAGGAGGATGAAGGCATATTGATATATTCGATGCCTTGAGTTATTTGTAAAAGGAATAAAGATGGGATATACTGTAAATAAATAAACAAACAAACAAATAATACCTGGATGGATTGAAGAAGTTATCTCAAATCTAAACTGTAGCTGGCCACTGACATGTTCTGTTGGTAGCCTTCGTCCCAGTGTGTAGCTAACAACCCTGTCTCTATTGGAAAAAAATAAAATAAAAAGAGTATTACATTTTTATATATGGTATGCTGGTTGCAACTGCTTCATAGGAATTATTAATGAATATTATTCATTAGACTTATTTGTAAAATCTGATGAAAGCACAACATAGGGCAATGATTAGTTCTGAACCAAAATCTAAGTCCTAACACTTAAGCCTCCTGAAAGTGTACCTCGAAAGTGCAAATAAATTTGGTCAATGTTAAGAGGCATAACGTCAATATTTGTGCTGACAGTGAGTTACAGAGATCCAAAAGGACGAAAGGAATAGTTTTGCCAATCACAAAAGTCTCATCTATAGAAACATGGTCCTAGTTATCAGCCTTGTTCTTAGCATTTTTTTTAGTCCAAAACCAGTATGATTTCCTTTTCAGAATTAATAGCTTCTATTATAGAAGTAGAGCACAGGTCATATTTTATAAATTGGGAAGAGTATAATATTATATGAGCCATTATGCAGGATATTCAATTGTGGCTATTAATACACTATATCAGTATCCTAAGTACAAGCTGCTATATACTGCACAGTAACATGTAGTAAGGCCTTGATTTTTTAAATAGGTGAATATAACATAAGGCATCATTGTCTTGTATATAGAACATCTAGAATGAACAGCTATGCTTGAAATACATTTCCATTAATTATAATATGTATGAAAATGTAAACACTATCAAAATTGAATTATTTTCACTTAAATGGCTATATAGTATATATGTAGAAATTGGAGAAGAGAAAGAAATGTTTTATTATATAGCTTTTCTTAAGTAGATTGTTAGGTTTAATATTCTAATAAAACATGAAGAGAAGATAGAGTAAAACATAGTGGATTTTCTTTTCATTGACATATTTAAAAGGCTAGATTGTTATCTAGGCTATCATCTACACTATCATCTGAATTTATTGAAGATACTATAGTAAGCAGAATATTGGATGTCTTCCAAGTTAATTCACCTGTGATTCACCTGACATAAATTATT